CGAAAAAATCGAATTAATTAAAGATATTGTGAAATGTATGGAGGAAGCCATACAAATTGATTCAGACGATAGTGAAGATCTGTTATATAACCTTTGTTTTAATTTTGAATTATAAATAAAATGTATTTCTTAATTGACAGAACTGATTAATATATGTGATAGAGTGGTCCAAATACCTATAAGGAAAAAGAAACGACAATGGGTTAAAGTAAAGAGTTGACAATGGGTTAAAGTAAAGTGAAAGAGAATGAGAAAAAACCTCGAACAGAGTTGCGCAACACAAGTTGCTCGTGTGAATGCAATAGGCAACAGCAAAAGAGAATCGCCCGAGAATCAGCAACAAAAGTTGCTTCGTGTAATAGCCGACTAAACGAACGAAACCGATTTTAAACGGTGCGCAGAAGAATGTCATCTATCGATAGAATGATAATTTTTGAGGGGAAATGTAAAAATCGTGTTTATAATTTCCTTCGGAAACAGCTGATTTATAAGTACACATCTCTTAGGATTCCGGTAGAGTTTTTCACTCCTGTTCTTTATATTAAATAACATTAAGATGTTAAAAGTAATTGTAAATAATACATATGTGAGGCAGTTTTCTATTAAACAGGCAACAAAACCTCCCATAAAGTACACAGACACCATTAATTTGCCAAAAACAAAATTTCCAAACAGATTAAATGCTGTTAAGCGGTTAGAATTAGAGCGTAAGCTGGTTGAGGTAAACTAAATACTTTATACGTTGAGTTTTGAGCTGGAATTGCTTTTATACTGTAGGGTGTATTTTCTGAAGCATATAATTACCAACAACAACATAATCAAGAACCTACTTTTGTCTTACACGATGGCCCTCCATATGCTAACGGGGATTTGCATATGGGTCATGCAGTTAATAAGGTGAGAAATTATTATTACAGCTGTTTCGGGTAAGAAATAACTGTTTAAAAATTTTGTTAAAGATTCTCAAAGACATAACATTACGTCAGCACACAGTACGTGGTCAGAAAGTGAATTATATTCCTGGATGGGATTGCCATGGTCTGCCCATTGAATTAAAGGCAACAGCTGCTGTTAAAGACAATAACATTGCGAGGTTTAAGAATCAAGATCCGATCAGCATTCGAAATAAATGTAAATATCAATTAAATTCCATTCTTTACGTGGGTATACATGTAAGCGGTTTACATAATTTTTTTTTCTTACAAAGCTCGCAGCTTTGCCTTAAATGCAATGCAACGACAAAAGAAAGAATTTCGTTCATGGGGTATTTTGAGCGACTGGTTAAATGAGGAAAACATTTATTTGACAATGCGGCCGGGATTTATAATAAATCAACTGAATATGTTCATAGATTTTTATGAACGTGGACTGGTATATCGAGATTTAAAGCCCGTCTACTGGTCTCCATCCTCGCGGTACATTTGTTTTTTATTGAAAGTGAGATTATGCACACTTAGTACTTTTAATTTTTAGAACAGCTTTGGCCGAAGCCGAACTGGAGTATGATGTGAACTTCGTTAGTCCTTCAGTTTACTTGAGATTTCTATTAACTAATTGGCACAATGGTATATCACTTTCTCCGAATACTAATCTTTATGCTTTGGTATTTACTACAACACCATGGACAATACCAAGTAATCAAGCAATATGCTACAATTCTATGCTAGATTACAGCGTGATTAAATTGTCTAGTTATGGCAGTGATTTATATTTAATTGCCACAAGTTTATTGCAAAACTTTTCGGAAGTTACTGGCATTACCTTCGAGGTCGTAAAAACTTTTAAAGGCACAGAACTATCGAATTGCACATACCAGCATCCCTTATTCCCAGAGCAGATTAACTTACCATTCTTCGCTGCTACACATGTGCAAGACTCAAAAGGCACAGGGCTTGTTCATACCGCACCTGCACATGGACCTGAAGATTTTTTGGTTGGCCTAGAAAATAAGTTGCCTGTGGTTGGTTTTGTATATTATATATCTGAGAATAATTCTTCAAGAATTAAAATGTTTTCAGATATGTTTTGTCAATGAAGATGGTGTTTACTCTTCGAAGGCTCCTGATTTTCTGAAAGGGAAAAATGTTCTTGGCGAAGGTGATCGCTTAGTGTTGGAAAATATTGCATCAGATGTGTTACATGCCGGAAAGATAACACATTCATGCCCTATTGACTGGCGCACCAAAGAACCTGTCATAATACGTGCCAGTGAGCAATGGTTTATGAATACAGAGCAACTAAAGGAACGAGCTCTTGAAGAGGTAGAATTCAAATACAAATTTTACAAAATCTAATTTAAATTTTCTCTTTGACCCAGATCAGTAAAATAAACGTTTATCCACTTGTTCAAGCAGATGCGAGTAGAAAAGCACTTATGACACAAGTACGTAAACGTCCATATTGGTGTATATCACGACAACGTGTCTGGGGCGTGCCCATACCCGTATTTTATGAACGAGAAACGAAGAATGTTATTCTAAATAGGTTAAATATTTAAATTTATAGATCAATAATATAATAGATAATTATTTACTTATAATATTCGTAGATCTTTAATCAACCATATCTGTGATGTCATTAAAAAAGAAGGAAACGCTGATTTTTGGTGGTCGCAAAGTGTAGAGCAGCTGTTACCCCCGAATATTCTGGAATCCTTTAAATTATCGGCAACCGATTTGGAAAAAAGTGGAGATATTTTTGATATTTGGTTCGATTCGGGCAGCACATGGTCAAGTGTGTTAAAGGATGAGAAAGTGGCTGACGTTTACCTTGAAGGTTACGATCAGTTCAGTGGCTGGTTTCAGTCATCATTGCTTACAAGTGTTGCAGTAAGAAACCAAGCACCTTACAAGTCAGTTATAATTTTAAGATAAAAATTATTACGATTCATATTTTCTTTATTAAAATTATGTGAAAATTAATAGGTCAATATTTGTACATGGTTTCACAGTCGATGATAAGGGTCACAAAATGTCAAAATCATTAGGTAATGTTATTTCACCAAAGGATATAATTAAAGAAGTCGGAGTGGATACTTTAAGGTAATATTGTCTCAGTATACTTATAATTACATACAAAATTGTTAAACTTTATACTTTTCAGGTGGTGGGTGGCTTCGCATTGTGCGCAAAACATGACTATAACTGTCAGTAAGAAGTTAATGCAACAAGCTGTCGACAGTGTAAATAAAATTCGCGCTACTTTACGCTATTTAAATGGCGTTATTGGTGATAAAACGGAAGTTCTGAACGATAAAAATACTTTTTTGGACAGATATATTTTAAGTGAGTTGGTAAAACACGAAAATGAGGTATGCAGCGCCATTAGATTAATTGGAATAATTTAGACAGTTAATAAAAAAATTATGTTTACAGATTTGGAAATTATATGATACTTACGAGTACCATCGTGTCGTGACGAACACACAAAATTTTGTGGCAAACCAAATTTCAGCAATATATATTCACACTATTAAGGATCGACTATATTGTGGAGATAACGTCGATATAAGAAATATACGTTATACGTTGCTTAATTGTTATAAAGTGCTCTGCTCTACTATATGGCCTATTATACCATTCCTAGTGGAAGAAAGTTGGCAATATTATGGTAAAATTTCATTAACTATCGGTCTGAACAGATTTAAATTAATTTTTTTTTTTAGATCCTAAAAGCGCATTTCATCAACAAAACTTTACTGCTAATTCCGCTTGGAAAGATGCCGATGCTGAAAAAACTGTTGGTATTGCATTGGAAATCAAACGAATTGTTAATCAAAAAGCGGGCAGCGCGAACTCATTTAATTTAGCAGTAGAAATTTCATACAACAAAAATAATGAGGAAATGCAAATGCTACGTCTTTTGCAAGGAGATGAAGCAGAAGGATCTTCCAATAATTCAGAACTATGTGAAATACTACAAGTTCAACGAGTTTCTCTGCAGCCATTTAATCATGTAGATTCTACCAATATTAATGTTCAAAAATTGGAATTGACCTTATGTGCACGCTGTAGACGTTTTGCAGTTGATAATGCCGATTGTGTTTGTGAACGTTGCGCTTTGGTTCTAGCTACCAGATAATTGTTATCTTTTATTATATAAGTGTCATATTTAAAAGCTTTGTAAGCACTTCAGTACAGAGTCACGCAGTTTGAGTCGTAACGACTGCTTTCCGCCACATATTATATGAGTTTCATTCTCATCAAATTTTATCGTTGTATCTTCATTTATCAAATGCAACATAACTACATTGCCAGTACGCTCTACTTTTATGTTTGTGATTCCGTCTTGAATTAACCGTTTCTTGAGCAGATCTACATCTAAGGTACCATATTCGTATTTCGTATTTTTAAGCACATCTTCTCGACTGGGAGGAGGCATTTTACTACCACTTGGCTTATCATTTGAAGAATCCGCGCATGGGTGTATATTGTGTACTTTATCCTTAACTTCCAGGACGCCAGTAATTGTGGAAACGGTAACACCATTACCCACGTCACGTGGAACAATTTTTTGTGCCATATCATATGTGATATAAACGCGATCGAGTTTTCGTTTCAACGGCAAGCGAATTATTTCGCCGCATTTAAATGTAATAATTTTTTTGTCCTGAAAATCGAATATATCAGTAACTTTTATAAGGTTCGTTTACCTTTAATTATAAAACTTACCGGTTGCTCGATGAAAAGGTTCGGTGCATTTGGATGTGGCTTTGTATAGGCCTCAGGTATCACTAAAACATTTGGCTTCAACTCCTTTATTAATTTATTTGCCTGTTGATAATTAAGTGAAGTATCTATTGGGCAATAGAAAGCTTTCATAGCGAGGGGTTGGAATGGCGCCAATACTTGGAGATACGGAAAATCTGGTTCTGAATAAAACATTTTTTGACTATTACTTTTTAATCTATAGGATTTTATTAATAATTTACCTGTAAATATAATAGAATTATTGACATTATGGCCCCACATCTCTACGAAGTGAACAGCGTCGCCGAATCTTAAGCTGGGATGTCCACAAAATACTACGCAAGGCTGAAAGAACAATTCTTTTATTTGCCGTAGTTTTATTGCTTTATAAACAAGTTTTAAAATACCTGCCGAAAATCTTTACTAAATCCTTCAGAAAACACATGTTTGTAATGCTTTAATTTTGAATTACGTAAATAAAAAGCATGCGGAAAGGGATCATCGGGCAGGTAGACTTTGTTTTGCTTTGCCGAACTCAGCCATTCAGCTAAAATATTTGAGTACGCTAATGAACTATCGGCTACCGGTGAAATAAAAAACATCGGAACGTTATTTAATCCGGCATTTTCCAAATTCTGTGTAAGACATTCGAAAAGGTCGTATACTACTCCAGAAGGATAACAAGGTATTAATGCTGAACCATTGTTTCGAATAGTAAGAGCTTAAAAAGTAATGTTTTAGAATACAAAATAAAATTAATCAATTATCCTACATAACATAATAAACTATCTTATGTTGTGTATTATTATTATAATTTTTTTTTTTTTTTTTACATAATAATTATACTTATTTTACTTACCAACGTTCATACATAGCTCTCCTAATTTTGTATCAGGATTAACAGTTGGGGCCTGAGTTAAGCCTGTCATTATCAAAACATCGGCGTGTTTCAGTGCACTCTGGTTGATTGGACGAGGATGTGTAGTTAAGGTTGACGATCCGCTAACATAACAAATTTTTTCGTGCGCTGTGCTTAAAACCCAATTACTCGAGCCTAAACAATATCCCGAACTGACGGGGGTTGCCACGAAAGCACCTAAAATATCCTTCAAATATATTTGTAGTACGAAGAGACCTTAGTTCTATACTCAATAAATATTTTACCAATTTTTCATCGTAACCCATAATTGTTACGCGCGCCAAACTATTGTGCACATCTTTTAAATTGAATATTGTTTTCCATTTTTTGGGTCTAAATGACTCACACAAAGGACTAGGTAATAAATGTAACACATCTTTCCACAAATGTGCTGTACTAGCTTTAGGTGCAACTTCAATATACTCCACAAGTTCTTCAAGGAAGAAACGACCAATTTGTAACGTTGGCTCTGTTGCATAGACTTTTCCCTTAAATCCCGTGTGCTCCGTTATAAAAGGAAGTGCTAGCATATTTAGATAGTTTGATATTAATATCACATCAATCTCACTAAAATCCATCATTTTATCCATTGGCAATGTAAACTCGGGTGCAGAGTCAACAAAAACTCGACCGCAACACTCTTTTAATTCACCGTCCATTTGAGGATCATGATCGCGGTTTGGTATCCAATTAGGTAAATTTGACAATTTCACACTTTGCACGAAAGGAAGTGGCAGAAAATTCAAGACCGATTGCTCCGTCAGACCACAGTCCAGCATGATGCGCAGGCCCTTGAAGGTTATAACGTAACAGTGCTTTGCCAAATCATTACTTAGGCAATACTACATAGGGAATAAAAAATTATTACTTAGAATTGGATATATATATTCATTGATTCACCAGACGCATTTTGTTTATTTTCTTCACTCTTTGCCGGCGTTAGTCTACTTTTGCCATCAGTTTGTAGTGAAAATTATCTTTAATTGAGTGTCAAATAAACTGACAGCTGTCAGATGTTTTATTAGTAAAAGTCTGTTCACACACGTAATTCGTGTTGCCTATGCTAAATTAATCTGAACACTCATACAAGAAGAGTTTTTTCTACTCTTATATTCTGAAGTCTATAACCTCAACATTGTTTATAAACGAAAAAAGTAAGCAAACATCAAAAGCACATTTTAAGCATTTCAAAATTGCTCAAATTCTGCTTAACAATAAATTTTGGCAACCCTGTTCTTTACATTGGTTTTAGCAACCCTGTGGCTGGCTTTGTATTTAAGTGGTATTTATCCATGAATTACATGTGTAGCAAATTTTTCATTACTGTTGTGCATTTTAAAATATTTCAGAATAAAATCTTAGCTGAAGAAAAGAAGAAGTTATACTTTAGGAAATAGATATTACCTGTTTTTTAATATGAAAATATTTCTAATATATTGGTATAATGTTTTATGATTTGTGAAAGTGGGTTCATGGTTATGTGAAGAGCAATATAAAGACAAAGTATCAGTTTTCATTGTGTTCAGGAAAAAAGTGAATTAGTGAAATTAAAACAATTCTGCTAGTATTTTTTTTTTAAGTTGCAATAAAAGCAATTGAATGCCACCGCGGACTCTGTGAAAGTTGAAAATGGCTAATGCCGGAACAGCAACTCCTTTGGAAATTGACGAATTTATAAATGGAGCTTTAGTTACATGGGTCAGTTAAACAAATGATAAATAATTATGAAAAAATAGTATTTAAATATATTTTAGTATTATTATTTTTACATCAGTACTTACTAATTAGGTTTTCAATGTATTTATATTGTATTTGTATAACCAGTAAATTGTCTGTCGATTTTCCAAATAAAGCTGACATGCTCAGTTTGGAGGTATACATCATACGATAGTATATGTATAAACTTTGTATGTTTCTTTATAATTTTGAAATATATTTTCAATCCCTTTTCAGTTGGAATCATGTTTGCCCCGTCCAGAAGTATTAACTGGATATTCCTCCTTGTTGGATGGCAATATTATACATAGTGTGTGGTTGCAAATAGACCCAGAACCTCAGAACCACCCAACTGATGTACGTGATTTAATCGGGGTATCATTATGTATAGCCCGATCAAAAAACTTCGAATGCATCGCACGTAATTTGAAGTCACTTTTTGAGGAAGAATTAGAACATACCATTCTAGTTCTTCCGGACGTCTATATCCTAGGATACCATCCTGAATCTAAACAAGGCTTGGAACAAATGAAAATTTTGTTAACACTGTTGTTAGGTGCTGCAGTGCAGTGTCCTAATCGCGAAGCTTTCATTGGACGCATTAAAATGTTGGATGTTGAAACGCAACATGCAATTGTTGGATTGATAAAACAAGTAAGATTATAGTAGTAATGAATGAACATAACTTGCTGAAAAAAAAAAAAAACATTTTCTTTGTTTGTATAGGTTACGGAAGACCAAAGTCTCGTTCTAACAAAGGAATCTGTGAATTTGCTAACCCCTGTTAACATGTACAATCATATATTGCGGCTGACAAAAGAACGTGACAATATGTATCTGCGTTGGATTGCTTCAATGTGCGCGGATACGGATTTAAATATGACTTCTTGTGCAGATGGTTCATTGAATATGCCATTATCACCATTATCATGCACGTTGACCACACCCTGTTTATCAACTTCCAGCTCCGAAAATAACCACATGGCAGTAGAACTTGCTGATTTGAAATCAAAAATTCGCAAATTGCGACAGGAATTGTAAGTAACACATTCCCTCAATTTATTGTAGTATAACATTTACATTTTAATTTTTTTTTTTGTAGAGAGGAGAAATCTGAAAATCAACTTGAATTGCGAGAGGAGCTCGACCATAAAAGTGCTCAATATGAAAAATTACGAGCTGAGGTAAGTAAAGATTTGAAGAAGTATTGTATACATTTTTTATTACTAGTTTTGTTTTGTTTATATAATTTTAGAGTCAAGAATGGTATGCAGAGGCAAAACGGGCGTATGCATACCGCGATGAAGTTGATGTCTTAAGGGAGCGAGCTGAACGCGCTGATCGCTTGGAAATTGAAGTTCAAAAATTTCGCGAAAAATTAACAGACGCAGAGTTCTATAAGACACGTGTTGAGGAGTTGCGCGAAGATAATCGAATGCTTTTAGAAACTAAGTAAATATGTAAAATTTAAAAAATATCGGCACATTAGTATAAATTCATTTTCTTTAGGGAGATGCTAGAAGATCAGCTGCAAAGAGCGCGGAAACGTTCAGAGCATGTCATGACTTTGGAATCTGAAATTATAAAATATAAACAGAAGCTAAACGATATGGCTTTGGAGAGAAACGTTGATCGTTCCAAGTTAGAAGAATTGCTGGAGGAAAACACCCAATTACAGTTAGCCGCGAAAACTCTAAACACTACTCAAAGACTTGATAGCGCATATTCCGACAACGAGGACGAATGTAATTCAGGGGACAATAGTTTATCAGAACAACTAACCAATGATGCGCAGGTAATAAAAAGAAACATGTCTGATTATTGATTACTGATAATTTTAAAATTTTCGGTATACAATTTTTATTTTTTTTCAGACACGAATTTTAAAATTGGAATTGAAGAATAAACAATTAGCTGCTGCGTTGGAGCAACTGAAAGAAAACTCATTCCATGAGTCTACGAACAAAATTCTTGAGCTTGAAAAGGATAAAAAGAAGCTTTCTTTGAAAATTGAGCAAATGCAAGAAAACATCCAACGTTTAACGCAACAGAATACTGCGTTGGAAGAGGTATTTAAAAGTGCGTTGGAAGAGAATAAAAAACTGCAAGACACAATGGACGACCGACAAAAGTCATATGAACGACAAAGCCAAGAACGCGAATTAGAACGTAATAAGTTGTTGGACGTGGAACAGCATGTTGAGACTTTAAATAAAGAGAAACAACGCTTACAAACACTTAACGAAAGTATACAACGTCGCGCTGATGATTTAGATCGTTTGCTGGACACTCGCACAAAGGAAATTCATCAGCTAACGGAGCGTTCACAAGGAGTGAGTAAGTTGAAAGAAAATGTGTATGACTTGGAAGCGAAGCTATGTGCTTGTGAACGAGAGAATAACAGTCTTTTGAAGGAAGTGGCAAAATTGAAGGAGAATACCGAAGGCAAATCAGTTCAATTAGACGAGTCGGCAGCAAAGCTTGAAGCGCAAACCAAAGAGATTGATCGTCTTACAAAGGAACTAACTAAAGTTGAGCAAACTCAGCAAAGAGTCATAGAACTGGAAAAACAAAATCAAGAATTAATGACTCAGCGTGAAATTGATTCAGATACAATACTGACACTTCGAAATGATTTAGTATCTGGTACATTAGCGACCAATAAAGTGCGTCAAAATTTAGAAAAATTAGGTTTAACAGATAGTGGCCATACCGACGATAATGGCGAATTGAATGTAGAAACTGTAGTCGAAAAGTTAGTACGCAATCCCGAAACTTTTAAAACCGTTCGTGAAATTATGTTGAATGTATCGAAAGAGCAGCATCAAAACGAAAACACAAAATCTGATATATGTGTGCTGTGTCATCGCAAGGAAATCTACACTGTTGAAAAAAATATTGAGCTATCCAATAATGAGCCACAAGAGCTAAGCTTCGAACACAAAGTTACCTTAACTGCACCAACTGGGCGCGATCGCATCGAAATTTTGCGACTTARGGAAGCCAACACTGAGCTAAGCGCACTCAACACAGGCCTTCAATCAGTAAACGTTCAACTGGAGGCAGAAAAGGCGCGCCTCGATGTAGACGTGGTGACATTGAGTTCGCAAATATCCACGCTGAACACACAATTAGTCGCATTACAAGTAGCCAATTCACAGCTTGCCTCTGATAAGGATCAGCTGTTGAAGCAAAGCGAGACCATTAAACAAGAAAATAAAAACGTACAGCATGATTTAATGGCGCTGCGAACTTTGCATGATCAGCTATCAACAGAATATGAATCACTTGCCGCTGACAAAGAGCAACTCAAGCTGATGCAGCGCGATTCTCGAAACGAAGCACGTGAATTACGAGAACATATCTCGAATTTAGAAAATCGTATAGCGGATTTAACGAAGGATAATGCTAAATTGAAGAGCTATGAAAACGATTTAACAATATTGCGAACAGAACATTCCAAGCTGACAGATGATTTTCGAAATTTGTTCCGTTTCAAAAACGAGTATAAAAATATTCAGGTTCGTTTCCTAGCTAATATTATGCTACAATATTTGCCATTACTTTTACATCCGACAAAATACCTACTATAAGGAAAATTATTATAATTTTTTTTTTAATTTTTAGGAACAATATAAAATGATACGCCCAGAAAATAATAAATTGAAGAAACAAATTGCCGAGCTGTTACGTGAGCTAGATTCCAAAAACGACCATATAAAAACCATGGAAAGTGATGCCGCCTACTATGCCCAACAGTGTGAAGTGAGTGAATTATTACTTTTATCCTAGTTTTTTATTACTTATCAAAACTTCCATTTATATAGGTATTGCTTCAAACGAATGCACATCTGGACATAGACCGAAAAACTTTAATGGACAATGTTTCACAATTGCTGACGCAATATCACGAACTACTTTCACATTCACTGGAGGATAAACAGCATTTCCGCGAGGAAGAGAAAAGTTATACAGAGCGTCTGCATAATTTGAGCCGTCAAAAAGAAAAATTGGAGGAGAAAATAATGGAACATTACAAAAAGCCAGAAACTGTTTTGCCAAAAAAGTGTGTAAATATATAATGACCTGTAATTTTACTAAATTATAACTAAACTAAATTTCTTTTTTCAGGAAACCTTTCGCGAGTAGTATTGTGCGACGTGTAAAGAAAGCCGGATCTGACTTTATAAATAAGGTGCCAACAAGTCGAGTGAGTGTAGTACCTTTTTCCGCAAAAAAATAGCAAACAATTAATTTAACGCAATTTAATTAGAATCGCCGTTCATGGGTGGATGACTCACGACTTAATCAGTCGCAATTCGTGATAGGCTCTGAATCAGGTGGTAATGATTCTGACAATAGCATAGAAGAACCAATGTCCATTGAATCTGACTCTCACTTGCTTCAACGCAACTTGGCTATACGGCAAAGTTTGCAACGGTAAGTGAATTTTATACATATGTACAACACGTAAAATATATGTTTTGGTAAAAAAAAAACTGTCGTATATATATGTGTGTCTGATTTATTATTAAAATTTAGAGACCTAATTGATAGCACACTTTCCCGCGGCGGAATACGAAGTAGTTTGCAATCACAAAAGCGAACGGATTTGAATAGTTCTCGAAGAAATAGCGTCCACGGGTGAGTAAACATAATTATTAATTTTGTGGAACCGATTCTGTACTTTTGTTTACATATGTATATTATTTTTGCAAATATTTTTTTTTTTTTTTATATTTCCTTCCAATTATTCCAATTTCTTTATTTTCAAATGTATGTTTGTATGTTAATGGAAATTGGGCACGAACTTGGTTTACTTGGATGGGTTGTGGGCTTAGACCGAAATTAAAAGTATTGAGGCGATTTTTCGGTAAATATTCGATCACAGTACAAAGAACTGGGTTGACGCATATCGCTATTACAATTTTTGTTGTGTATTAATCGCTTGCTTGCGCTTTTATGAGTAAATAAAAAGAAAATAAGTGAACTTAAATTCGCTTGCCCGCCTGCCAAATAAATATTTTAGACCCCAGTAAAAAAAAATTTTTTTTAAGATGTTCCACACTATCTAAAGCAATATACATATATCAATGACGTATCATTTCTGACCATTGTGCGCCAAACAATAGTATTTATTTTGTTTTAGTACTTTAATTTTAAGTTGTAAGTACATATATATTTTTTTCAATTTATTTGTAACCTTGCTTTTGCAACACTAACAATTTTACATTTGAACAGCTGTTGCTGTCTTTCAGTACCGGCGACGTTCGCCCACACCCACATCTTAGAACAATTTGTTCAGACAATTAGTGTGCAAGATATTTGACATGTTTCATGGTGTGTGACGTTATTTTTATTTGGCAAACATGTGAATCTCAAATATGTATATTTTAGTAATGTAGTCCATATATATTGGTTTGGTCGAACCTAACTTTTTACTGTATAAAATTATTATTATTTTTTTTTTTATCAAATAAAATTAGCATGCACTTGTTAATATTGCATTCATGTATTCAAATAATTTTTGTGCCAATTAATATATAATATATTTGTACAATACGTCTACATAATCAACCATTAGAGCTTTTTTGTTGGTAAAATTTATAATTGCAATAATTTAATAATTCACAAAAAAATACTAAAAATTTGTTATTTATCTCTTCAACAGTCTTGAAGCGCCGGATGTGACGGGTAGCAGTTTAACACTGGGCACAGCAGGTTCCCGACGCACAGTTTATTTAATCGATGAACACCAAAAAATACCCGAAACAAACAGTACTTGTAGTGAAATTGGTGACAGTGGTGAAATGTCGAATTCAAATTGCGTTTTAAACTCAAGTGCCTGTTCTACATCTACAACTTTGACAGGTGCCGGCACCCTTGGTGACGCATATATGTCGACAGATATGGGTGTTGGTGGTACTGGAGTAGGCATTACCGAGCCTCAAACGCCTTCAAATTTGTCATCCGTTCCAAATAATGATAATCCAACTACATTCCTTATGTACAATCGCATCAATACAACGATTGGTAATACTAATTCGGAGTGCAACATGCCACCGGGCACATCACGTGATTCAACTATAACAAGTAATAATTCAACACCAGTGACAACCACAAATGCAACACAGGATGATAAATCACTACGAAAACGTACTGACGATAAAAGTAACAGTATTTGGTACGAGTATGGATGTGTTTAGATAATAGCCATCTGGAATATGTAGTTAGGTCTTATTATACTCACAAAAGTAATGCGTATATAAATTTAAAATACATAAAAAGCAAATTAGATAGGTTAATGTTTTCAAAAATAATTGAAGCCTTCAGTAATTTTGAAAGTTATATAGAGTTTAGCAACTATGCAATAGCAGAGCAATTTCCAAAACTCGTTTGGCAAATCTTTTAAACATAAGTCAGTACATTTCCTCTTAGCATACCACTGCCATTTAATGAAATAATTTTCATTTATTCGAATTTAATGGAGGCTTTTCATTTTTATCATCCTCGATTTTCGTTAAATGCACATCTACATTCATGTGATTAACCCAAATAAATAGTACTTCTAAAAACCATGATTTCCAATTTTAAATTATTTATACGATTTTTCTTATTACTCTGATTGTGATTATTTTCGCAGTACATAGTGGTCCTACAATGCGCACAATTTTATTAACCACTTATATACATATGTATGTATACATAATGCAACTCGAATAGTCATTGCTGGAAATAAAGTAAATATTTTATGAATTTTCTTCCAAATATACACAACGAAAGAGTTACACAACATTAATATATTTTACTGTAGTATAGCACTTACTTAATAAAATATCGATTCCGTAACTATAAATGCACACATTTTCTAGTTTATAGAAATCATCATTACATCTAATACAGCAATAAATGCTTACACATGTTGCAAGTTTTCGAAATACCACATTTGCCTTTATCTACTATAGAAATTATGAGTATTATATACATACATAAAAGATAAATTTAAAACTATACGGGCGATCGATGCTTCGGTCACCCATGCTTTGGCAAAAAATAAAACGCATTTCCTCACAATTGAATACAAAAATACTTGTTAAGCTGGCTATAATATTATATATATATCATATATAAATCGTCCTATATACTTACTATATTTTTTATAAGTATTTACTTTTTGTAAATCGCCTTTTTTAAATTAATATATACTTTACAAACATAATAAACACACAATCTTTGAATAAAAATGACTTTCGAGTGGAAATTCTTGATCACAATTGTGCTTTCTTAATATATGTATATAAACATTTTGTTTTGTACACGAAAACATTCGAAAATAAATAAAGAATGTTGAATACATGCTACACCAGCACTCACAATAAATGCTGTCATCATTAATGCAAGCTATGGCAGCTGAGGCGGCGATTAGACGCGTAAATGGAAATTATGCCCATTGACTACACATGATCTTCCCGCTATACTATACGTTGGCAGTGGGGAATATATGAACTGTAGATAAAAATTAATTTCTTCATAAAATCGCATTATTCAATATACTGACCTTTGGCGCTTTTTGTTGCGTGGACATGTAGCCAACACAAAATGATTTTGTTGTGTGACTCCATAATACTTCCCCGGTATTGCCATGGGGATAGTAAATGAGTGAAAGGGCTCCGGCATACAATTCTTGGTCAACGGGAAGGAATGGTGATTCCAGAAATTTGCTTTTCAAGCTTTTATGTAAACTCGTTACGGCACAATCACTTGTCAACAAATCGACACATATTTCTTTTGCTAATAAAGTTTTCATTAAATATTCACCATTCCCCGTTGTACAAGTGGCCACGGAGGTCTCTGTTGTGTTAGTTGCCCAACATCCTGCACCATAAGTAGCTGCTTGTCCAACTCGGCCCGGCACTTTAAGTAATAAGCCACCAGAGCTACAACCAGCAGCGGTATTACCGGCACTATCTACACACACGGCTCCCACCGTATCAAGTGCACTTACTTGATTCGGAACAACTGATGAAGTAGGTGCATCAGCAGCCGATGTTATTGCCGATATTTTAGATTTATAATGGTTATAAGAAAGTTTTGCTTTAGAAGAAATCATTGCATTTGGATCGATCATAGTGCAACCTAGTTCTTCTGCATATCTTTCTGCACCGCTACCCGCCATAATCATTGGTGGTATTCGCTCCATTGATAGCATAGTTGATTGACCATCACATAATAATCGAGCCAAGCGTATAGGATTGCGTACAGTGCTGACGTTAGTGCAAGCTCCAAAGTGTAAATTTGAACCATTCATTATAGATGCATCACATTGCACTCGACCATCCCAACAAAGGTTAGATCCAAATCCGGCATTCGTATTTCCACAATTCTCAAGTCGAACTATTGCTGCTTCGCAAGCGTCCATGGCAGAACCGCCATTCTTTAGTATATCTGTTGCTCGAACACAAGCTTCCTTAATAACACGCTGGTATTTTGTTTCATCTATACAATTACCAGCACCTAAAGAACAAATCATAGAAAAACAATATCTTCATGTCCCATTAAAATTGCCAATCCTCTTACCAGTGTGAACCGCTACAAACCCAGCCATTACAACAAATTCTGAAATTATTTTCTGCACTCTTTATTGTTTGCGACTGAGTACAAAAATTACTGCATCTCTGAAATAGACAAAATATTTAATGTAAACAAATTTAATGCCTGCGTATAATGAAAGTGAAGACAGCCTGAACGTACAAATTTAATATAAATATACACTCATATATATTTACTTGTAGATTATTGTTTTTGATTCAAAATAAATGTGTTTCAATTAAATTGTTTATAATACTGCCACACAGAGATAGTTAGCAAGTAAACTTATATTTTAGATCTGAAGTTGTTTATTTAATACAAACTGATTATTTACGATATATATCGATTTGTTATTCCCAGTTCTCTTACAATTAAAATGTGGCTGCCATATTTGAATGATTACCCAGATCAAATTTCGGCCAAATTTTGGATCAATGTTTCTACAAAATAGGACGCAGGTTTAAAAATTAAGTATTTATGTCGGTTCAAGACAAACAAAATAGGGTATATGAAATATATTTAAAATAAATTTAAATTATATCACATACTTTAGGCATCGTAAAATTATGAAAATATGCACTGCACGTATATTAGGCAAAATAGGAGTACTTTATTAAATACTCAGGGGCCTGAGCATCTAATATTGTGATGGCAGGATGTGGTGCGAATGCGTTGATCTAACCTTAACCAATATTTACAGAAATATGTAATATTACGTGATTTAATAGAGAAGATTGCAACAAACAGGGAGATAAGAAGTTTCGGAGAGTAAAAAAACTTAACACAAGAGTAAAAAAACTTAACACAAGAGTTTCAAGACTTGAATCAGTTTCTTTAACCAAGCATATATGTACGTTTTCTTCATTTAATGATAATTTGATTTACATACTTTATTAACTGAACGAAGATGTATTTTTAAAAACTACAACACATAAAACCATTTTCTTGAAATTCTTTTATATTTCAATTACTTTTATTTGATGATTTATAACGATATTATTAACAACATTACTATTAAAGCACTTTACATGTTACATCTTTACATAATTCGTAATACAGTAGAGTATATTTGAATTGTTTTACAATTTGTTAATAAAAAATGTATTTGTATAGGGAATACCTAATCTCTACCATTGCCTGTTGCCTTCGAAACGGATGTATCTATGTACATATTCTCTTTTCTTTAATACATACTTTATTTTCCAGCCTCGTTCATGCTTTTTGGCAGACTAAGCAATGAATTGATTAACTCCGAGTTTCGTTTTGGTACAGGTCCAGTCAAACTATTGATCGGGTAATATTTACAAGGGGTTGCATAAGGCTGTGGGTATTGTATGGAGTTGAGCCAATTCAAAAATTCGCGGTTGTACTGGAATTGGTATATACATACATACATATAAATATATAAACATAAAAATTCTGAAATTTAGTCAAACTTACATCTTTTTCCATGTAGCGCTCTTCGTCTGGAGTAGGCAGCGCTTGAGATGAAAATAATACTGTGCAGAAAATCAAAGTGAAAACCAGACAAATTAGCTTAACCATGTTTAAGTGTTTTATTTAACGGTATTGTACTGAGCGATGAAAAATGTCTGAAGAATTGCAGATAACAACTGATGAACTACGAGGATTTGCTTTGGTTTTTATACCTGAACAGGGCATGTTCAGCACAGCAGGAGTCCCGTATACGCAACTAGAGCGAGTGTCAATTCCAGATCAAACAAATCAGAAACGCAGATACGCAGATGCGTTGTTTTGTTTCCTGTTATCTAAGATTTTTACGACCTGTTTGTTATAGACTCTTCCAATACAGCTCTGCAAACGTTAGTGCTATATTTGTATGTATGCATTTGTTTTTATTGCCAACGGATACGTAAAAGCAAGCATTCATATGTATGTATGTATGTGCATATATCCTTTGTACATATTATATATATTTTATTACCATCCGTAGAGGGACTTTTGGTAACATTAAGCAAAATAAATACATTTAACGGTTAATTAAACACATTTAAACACAACAAATAGATATTAACTATTTAATTTTATATTTTATTAGAAGTAAATATGCACGCATGCATGCTACAGACTTATTTTCATACAATCGGCAGTTATAGTCAAATTCGTTTGCTGATAAAGTTAAAATGAAAAACTCTAATAAGTCCTAAAAGTTTGTGGAAATGTTATACATAAATTAAATTCGCACATATATATGTACATAGGTTTTGCTTGGTTTGGTTTTTCCATAATATCTAATTGGCCTTCCAAATATAGATAGAAACATATAAATAAATACTAGAGTACATACATACTCTGTTCTTGTTGTTATAGCGGCAGAATACATTTCTGAAGTAATTTCGAGAAATATATTCTGCCGTTTTGGTAGTCCTTGGCCGGATAATAATCCGGTTCCGTTCCGGTTACTTAGCCCCGACTATCGTGGGCGTGTACATTTGCTCACAAGTTCAGCTCTATCTGAAATATAAATCAAATAGGAATGTTACCAAAAGCACAAAATTATTGCGAAAATATCGGAATATTTGACTTTTTCGAGAGGAAGGGTTAAAAATATTTGGCAATAAACCGAGAAATGTGACATTTAATGAAGATAGACAAATAATACCAAAGAGCCAGGCGTATCCTTTTTTGGCGTCCCGTGAAATTATAGCATTATATTATAAAAAAAAAAAACTGTAAAACATGGTGGATGTTGTTGTTGTTTTAACGGTTATCAGTCCCCGTTGGGACGGTGATAGTTATCTGTGTTGTCGTCGATGTCATCTAACGGGAGGCCCAGGAAATGTGCTGTTTTGACGGGGTCGGACCAGAGGGAAAAGGGTGTTAGATGAGTGGGGTTGGTTGGGTATGCAAAGAGGTGGTCAGTGTCATGCGGATACTCGTTGCATGCAGGACATACGTTGGGTATGTCTGGGTCTATTCTGGATAGGTATTCGGTGAAGGTGTTGACAGCTCCACTGTGAATGGCGGTCAGTGCCTGTCGGAAGTCTGTAGCGTCCGAGGTCCTGTTGGCGTATTGTTTGATATCGTCGACGTGATCAAGGAATGACCTCCTGATG